TTATTGGTTAATAAATTACTTGGCAATTGGATTAAGTCCAATTGTACAATTATTTATTTGAACTATTTGAATTATGTCCAATTGTTTAATTGATTCAATTGATTCAATTGCAAACACTGGTACATAGTATTAAAATACTGGCGCTTTCCAGATGATTTATCGATAACAATTGCCTTGTTTAGTGAAGCATAAATTATCTAAAGAAATAAATTGTTATTACCGTTGGACTTACATAAATTTAATGCAATACTCCTTTTGCTATTACGTAATTATTCTAAATAATATTATATTAAGTTTCGCCTTGCATTTTTCGATAGGAATAGATTAGGATAGACTTTTTTTCCCAAGGCCTATTACAGGGCCCAGTAATAGTTGACCCCTTTGTATTGTAATAAATAAATTAATTCCGTTTCTTTCTATTCGTTGTATTTGTTAAATTGATCGCATTCGTTTCATTGTATTTTGTCGTTTTTGTTTACTTAAAATAAACATCACCTCACGCGACGCGGAATTGCAAAAATTATCTTCTTGACCCTGTATGACTTGACCTGCAATTTTTGCCGCGGAATTAGTAACAATAGCAATCTCCAATAAATTGATATGGAAAATATTTCTGTTTGTGAATTACTTTATCATTCCCTCCTAATTAAAATAAATAAAAGAAATTTTCTCAATTTCCTATCAAACTCTATTTGCGGTGAAGTTGTTTATTAATGGCGAGTGCTACTAAAAAAAAAAAAAATTATAAAATTCTAGATATAAGGTTATAGTCCGAAGTTTATAAAAATTTTAAAATTTGAGTATTACGAGCGAGTATGAAAAATAGAAATAGAAACAAATATCATCATCGATTTTAATGAAACTTCATGTTTTATATTTTGAATATCGTTTGGTTATAAACGAAGAAATTCAACTGTATATAAATAAATAATATTTACTTCATATCGAATTGATAGTGTCGAATCTTTATTAAATGGGAAGAAGATTTGATCTGTCTTATTATAAAATTGGTAAAACAGACTTTCTTTTTTATTTCAAAATATTTAGTTATTTTGTTATTTTTAAGAATGGATAAAATAAATTTAAATGAATATTCAAATCTTCTATTCTCAAATGAAAACGCTTGAATTATCAAAGTAGATGAAACAGGAACGTTATGCTTTTTGAATTTTTTTTTAAATAAAAACTCCTTTTATCCCTTATTATCGTTCCTTCGTTTATAATAAAAATTTTTTAGTAATTAAGATTTTTATGTTGTTGTTATATTATATACGACGAATGTTATGCTATTAAAATCACGTTGCGAATCATATGATTTACTATGTCTCGTAACTCGCTTTTAATAGCAAATGACCCATATAACAAAGTGATTCTAAAGTAATAAATAATATAAGATTATTAAATTGTATTAACCAATTTCAGTTAATACTTAAATATACCGCATTTTGAAGCACCTTTTAATATGGACATTTTACCTGAATGAAGTGCAGATTAAATTATATTTCTAAAGTCGTATATAGTTCATTAATTCGAACCATTCAACACGAATGATGCTATTCTAGAATCATTGGCGAATACCGGTAACGAAATTTCCGGTAAGAAATTATTATAACGTACGATATTAATTGTTCAAAATTATGAATGATTCTCTATTTGCATGGGTTAAGGACCGAAAGGACGATAGAAATATGATATCTGCGGTGACAATTATTTTTTAATATCAGGTTTATCGTTGTTTAGTTAAATTAACCAAGCTATCAAAATTTAGTTCATAACATACTTTAAAATTGGATTCGAATAAATCTCTAAACCCATATAATAATATAAAGTCAAAAGATAAATAAAAATAACAATCCTACTACCAGAAGAGATGCAAGCCGAAAGAACTTAAAGAAAAATTGTTAAAGAAGGAAAAATAAAAATATTTGATCATTACAGTTTGAAGAAAATAAAACCTAGAAAAAAAAAGAAATCGCAAAACTAAGAAAAAAAGTACAGGATGATGAAATAAAAAAATCCTTTCCGAAGAGATTGAGATACTTGAAAAGAAAAAAAATTGAGATCCGATCGCTGCAGCTCAAAGCAAAAGAAAAGAAGTCAATAAAACTTTGGAACTAATTTCAAGAGTTTGGATTGATTGAAATTTCGTTTGATTTAATAAATTTTCATACATAGCATGAACAAAGCTTAAATATATCATGCCGGTGATGAAAAACTAGCAAATAGAAAAATATATATATTTCTTCTAGTTTGGCTGGAAAATTGAGCTTTTGCTAGCTTCTAGATTCATGCTAATTAATTTTCCGACTCCAGATGTTCTCTTTTTGTTATATATTGTCATTTTAACCTTTCCGAGATCGTACATTGACATGAATCTAGTCACATGCAATGGCACAGCAAAAGTATTGCACAGTACATCATAATGTTTGGCGCAATATCGCACTGGTGATAAAAATATTGTAAAAAACAAAGAAATAATATGACTCGGGAGTTGCATTTATGGCCTAGGATCTTCTCTTACATCCGAATTTTAAAATTATATCGCCTACATCGAGCCTAAATCTTAACTCTTAACTGTGTATGAATAAATAAAAACTTGATTCAGATCATGCATGTAATTATTTTCCTTAAAGAAGATGCATACTCTGTTGGAAAATACAATTTTTCATTAATATACATAATGACATCATTATCTTCAGTATTACTACCACCTCTATTTGATTGTTTTGACTGATTTGGAGTGCGTTCTTGAGCTAATATATAATGAATTTGAAGTGAACCGCGATGGTTATAAATTGTTGATCACATCGTCAAATTTTTTCTTCAAGTTGGTACATTTTACTTTACCATCCTTCTCGCGATACATATGACTCCAATTTGTTGATTTTTTGTCATCTTCAACATCTTTACCTGACAATTTATTGAAATACATTTTTGCACTAATGAGTAAGGTCCAATAAGTATATAGACCACCAATCTTTCCGATCTAGACACCATCTTGACGCATGAATTGAATTGACTAGGTACAAACACAATTTCTAAAGGTGTTGGTGTGGATAGAATCTTCTTGATAATATCCACATTATCTTTCATCAAACTGAAAAAAAAGCATTTGTAAATTTCCATATTATTAATATTGATAATTGCTTCTTTAGTCCATTCTAGCAGATGTAATTGGCTGTCATAGTTTTCATTAACAAAATCAAAAACCGTCTTATTTTTAAAATCAACTAATCTCCTATGACAAAATACTGCCACATAATGCCTTTAGAGGTATTTGAATTGTCATCATAATCAACAGTTTGTTGTAAGTGTTTTTTAATCAGCGGTTCAGTAGGTGATTTGTACTGGAAATGAAGGACAATTTTAACAGGTTCTATCGCCAAAGGTTCCTTGACTTGCCAAAATTTTTTTAACCTTGTCTGATTTCAATGAAGCAATGCCACAGTCGACCAATTTTTCTGAATAATCATATATTTCACTTAACCATTAAAGAACCTTGACATATCATTTTACTATAGTGAGTTAGTTTGAATAAAGAATAAATACGTCAATAACATACCAGCAGTTAATAAAGAGTGTCATCAAGAATTTCGTAATTTTACATTCTCCAAATCTTCCTTTTCATATGCTTCATTTACTATCACTTCAAGATGGCATATTATATCATTCTTGATAGACTGCACTGTCTTATTTACAGCATATTTAAGCACAATTGTTTGTTTTCTTGTGACACTTTTTCTGCATTTATTATTTTCATTACAAGGTGAACCATTAGACTTATCAATTTCTCAGCCTGAAAAATCAAGATAACTCATAATGTAGACTTCAACATCTTTGCAGTCTATTGTATCGAAGTTATTATATATTTTATCTTATTTTCTTTGCCGATATCACTTTAGTATCACTGCCTTGTTTAAGGGTAAATGCAGTGACAGTGATTACTGTTGAAATTTCAAATAATCTAAGAATCTCAATCATTGGCATTAATAAACCACATGGATGTTTATTTATATTGTGAAAATAATCACTGAAAAGTTTGTTGCTGGCAACATTGGATTCATCAATGGCAAAAATAAGTGTTTTTTGACCAGATAATTTAACCTATAATATATATTGCAAATAAATTAAAATGTATATTATAAGAGCAACATTAATTTTAATCAATAGATTATTAAACTTTAAGTATTCTAAAGCAGATGAAAAAATTGATTGCAGGTTATCATGGGTAGAATGCTTCAATTTATTTTTAATGCTTGTAATACTTCATTGTTCACCATTGAGCTGGGATAGGAGATAGTTACGAGGTGTAATATCTGGGAATTTCTTTTTGAGAAAATTGAGATAGAGGATCTTGCAGTAAATTCTAAAATGATAAGTCGCTTTGCTTCTTCTCTAGCAGTGTTATTAATAGAATCGTTATAATGTCTAAAGGCTGAACCTATTGATTGCAACAAGCTGTGCAAAATTACGATCAATTGTTGGCTCATAATTCCAATTACTAATATCTGACGATAGTCTACAATCCACATACACTATGTAGATGCCATTTTCATTCATAGACATATCAAAAATTGCTCTAGTTTTGCCAACTCCAGAAATAACACAAAGCAAATAGCAAACTTTGGTTTCATTTTTAAATTGTTAATAAGCTCTCTAACTGTATCGGTAATCTTTACATTTAAACGCATATCTACATTATCTCTTTTGTAAAAATGTCTGGCAATATTAGGAATAGGATAAAGTTCTGGGAATCTGTCAAAAGGGATTCTCTCTCCATGGTCGACAATCAAACTTTCAAGCGTAGGGGCATCCTTTTTTCATTTTAGTTCTATGTCAACAGATTCTATAGTTGTGAATGTCATCAACAGTTAGCAGTATATTCGTGTTTTGAGCTCATCATTGTGTAAAAACATACTTGAATCTGCATATCATTTTTGTCCAGTAGCTAAGAACAATTAAAAAAAAAGAGTCAAACAGAACTAGATATTTTGTTACTGCAAATTTCTTGTTAGAAAGGTAAGACACTTACCAGTGAAGAAGAGGATTATGAAAATATGAAGACAGCATTACTATAATGTGCACTAAAATTCAGCATAGGATTAACATCAATCTTCTTACTCTTGTCATGTTTTTAATATTATCTTCGGTAGAAATGTTATTAAATTATTGAAAGGCGAGTTCGACTTTCCAGACATTCATTTCAGTTATTCTACTTTTTTCAGAGAGAGCTTCCTTAAATCCTGCAACAGTTAATTCTTCAAATTTGACGTTAAAATTACGAATAGGAAAATATTCGCTATAGAAAATACTGAAAATCTTAATAGAAGATTGTCCCAGTACCAAACAGTTTAATGAAAATAACATTATATTTCTTTAAAAGGGATTAGATTTAAGAAGAAATTTTGAGAAAGGTTAGAGAAGTCTAACGTTTATACCTTTCTAAATACATCGTGACATAGACTACATGTTGCGTAAGTTACGAGATTATAGGAAAAAACATTAAAACAAACTTCCGCATCGGGGAATCGAACCCCAGCCTTCCCGGTAAGAGCTGGAGATCCTAACCACTAGACCAATGTGGATAATGATTTATTAAAATATTTAAAAAAGTTATTTGTTAAATTTAATGATTGCAATATAGGAAATAATGTTTGTATTATTGCATAAACTTTGTGGCTTGTAATGACATAATACGGCAAATAATATAGATACTTCTACAAAAATTAATAAGCATTATGATTAATATGGTTTTATCATTAGATTTTTGATTCTCCGACGAAAAAAGGTAAATTAAACGTTACATAACATTTAGGTCATACGAGAGTGGTCATACGATTGACCGAATTTGACTAATTGAAAATAAATTAATAAAACGCAGCTATGATGTAATATTTTCACTTTTTTCTTACTCCGGCCATCGTACTATTTTCTGGTCACAAACGTTACTTTTTTGCCTATGATTTTGGCGATTTGACCAAGTTGTCCTGTGGCTCCGGTCGTAACACTAGAAGAAATAAGAATTTTTTGGTCATGATTTTATTTTTTTTTATTTTTAAGAAAAATAAATAAAAGGAATAAAAAAATGAAATGTACAAGTTTTTTTCTTAATTTACCGAAATGTAAATTGTTTCTCCTGCTTTTGGTTTTCCGACAGTCATTAAGGTTCCGTAAGGAGTCATTCCACTAATTTGAAGAACATAGGCTTGATTACTTAATGGAATCTCTCTAATAACTTTTTATGATAATTAACGTTATTAAAAGGGACTTGATTTTACCAGTCTTAATAAGAGTGTATTCTTCCCAACCTAAATTCAAAAAAGAGGATTTATTATTAAACTATAAAAAAGAATCATTTTAAATTTAAGTGATATTTCTCATTTATTTACCAATAAATCCGTAAATGAGATTACCAATTTTATGGGTTGGATTATTTGATTTTTACAACTTCAGATACAACAAATGACCAATTATTTGCGGTGGCACAAATGATTTAATATGAGGTTCTCTCAAGGTCATACGAATATAAGGATCTAAAGACAAATAAAGATTCTTCAAATTTCAAATTTTCATTATCAAATGTACGATGAACTAATTCAAAGTGAACGTCGAATTTGGTTAATCCTTCTGGAATAACTTTAAAAAAGTATTCCTTTGCTTGATACAGGTAACATGATTTATTTGTCAAAAAAGGTCTAAAAAACTTGTAGTGAAAGAAATTCTCAACACAACTTTTATATTTATATGAGTTAGGAACCGAAGATCCGGATAAATATCTATTTGGATAAAATATTAAGTAGAATACTAGTTTCGTTAATTTCTATAAAGGGAAATTTCAATTTTTTTTAAAGATTAGTTTCCATTGTCGATTTAATAATGAATGAATAATATCATTCACTAGAAATACGAATAGTTGGGGACGTTACTTTGCGGCAAGTTTAAAATTTTTTTATTTATACAGTCAAAATTTTTTAAAAAATAAAATAGCAAAATATTTGATTTTAAATTTTTAATAGAATTTTTTATTTACTGAAGAAAAGTATTTTTTTATTTATCAGAAAAAAACAACTAATTTTTTTTTCTATCGTAAGAAGTTCCAAAGAATTGATAAATTTATTTTATAGGTCGAAAGGGGCAGAAATGTATTCTTTATGCAGAACTTATGATATTTTACTAGTCATTGCGCCTAGCATTTTGTATAGTTTTAATTGTTTTGATATCGCAGAAATAGAGAAAAAAAACATGCATATTTGGCATATAATAAATTTCTCGTAAAATTTCCGTGAAAATGAGTCTTCACGGAAAAAATCATGGGAAACAAAACACAGATCAACTTTTTTATAGGTAAACTTATCTTGACCTCATATAATTCTTTTAGTTATTCTATTAAAAAAAAAAAATGTTTACTAATTTTTTTGATAACATCATCATACGCACGATCCCAAGACATTTCCACAATATTATACCAAAGATTATAAATATTTACTTGCAAGTGTGCAATAACTTAGATAACTACTTTAGACACAAACGTCATAAATTATCTCTTCTGTTATAATATCCAATTTCTGAGCATCGACAATCTTAAAACTTCGAGATATCTAATTTAGATGAGATGCTAGTCCAATTGTTCCTTAATTGTTTAGCATTGTGTCACAATTTTGTTTTAATTTATTTTTTTTATTAGTATTTAGTTAGAATTTTGTAGATCGTAGGCTTCTGGGCCAATATGTCATACGGACAAAAAGGCTTCTAGACAATTAGCCCTTGCTAGGTTTTAATTATAAAAGAGGTGGGATTTCACTTGGGAATAAAAGTGTGTTCCAATTTCTTAGAAATAGAAAGTAGACAGTTTAATTAGTAATCTCCCCTTTATTGTAAAGATACCGAATCTTTAATTAAATAAACGCATATGACATCACGAAATGACAAAAAATTTCGCAAATTTAAAATAACTTTATTTAATATTTATTAATTTTTAATTTACTTTATTCAAACATTTACATTTTTATACACTTCGAAAAATTAAAAATAACTATAAATATTAACAATGAATTATAAAACATAATACGTTTATTCAACTTCTTGAATAATACCGACCTATGGCAAATGTCGATCATTGTATATTCGCTATTACATCATATAAATGTCAAAGATTTTATGTTCGATGTCATTCCTATTAGTTGTGAAAAGTCAACAGTTTTAGACACTTTAAAAAGAATGGATGACACTGGAACTGTTAATTCAAAGCCTCGTTTTTGTTGACCAACCTTAATTAAAGATTCGAAGCAAAGCCAGCTTAAGCGAATTATCACTAATGATAAAGAAAAAAATTGTCGCTTATGCACTGCAGAAGTTCAACAACTCTGGCAAAAAAAGACTGACCAAGATGCTTAAACTCGCACAATTGGTCAGAGTCTTCATATAGCTGGATTAAATAATGTTTTGCATGACGAAAGCCTTTAATCACACCAGCAAATGTTGAGGTACGTCTTGCATGGTGTTTGGAATACCAAAATTGGACAAATGATGATTGGTTTAAGGTCATGTAGAGTGATAAATCTACCTTTTCACAATTCCAACAAAGCTGTTTTAGTCAAGTATGGTGTGAACCTCATGAAAAATGGAACATTTCTTGTGTTTCCGTCACAGTGAAACATAGCCCTAGCTGAATGTTTTGGGGTGCTTTTCGAGATAAGGCTTAGGACCAATTGTTTCATTATCTAGAACAGTCACTGGTGCTACATATATTATCATTCTTAGCAAGCATGTCATACCAACTATGAGACGGTCATTTCCAAACTGTGATGGTATATTTCAAGGGAATAATGCTTGCCTTCACAAAATGTAACTTGCAAAGAAATTTCATGCAAAAAATGGTCTGCATGTACTTCTATAGTCCGCTTAAAATCCAGATTTCAACCCTATTATTAATCTATAGGCTGAAGTCAAGAAAAGCATCTGTGAAAGAAAAAATTTGCCTTCTAACCTTACTCAACTCGATCGACATATTATAAGGGCTTGGAAACAAATTCTGATACAAACTATCAAAAATTTGGTCAATAGTATACCACAGAGAATTATGGCTGTGATTGAAGCAAATGGAGGCCTGACCAAGTACTAATTATTTAGTACTAAATGTGTAGCATATCGTACTTTAATAAATATATTAATAAATATTTTTTAATAAAATTTAAAAATTTTAAGTTTTATATTGAGCCAAAAAGTGTCCAGAGACTTTTAGCAGGGGTCTGTACTAGTTCTCTTAATATAATATTTAAAGAAAAAGCATTTATTAGTTTAGAAATAATTAAAACATTATTACCAGAAAATAATTATATGTTTTTATATAATTCAAAATAGTGTATTTAGGTTAAAAATAATTTTACTTTAAAAATAATTATATGTATATAAAATTCCTAATAATCATACAAAGGAAACTATGGAAAAAAGCAAGTCAAATAACAGCATTACCTATTTTAATTAAAGAAAATTTTGAAAAGAATTTTGTATTTCTCATGTTTTATTTGGATATAACAATATTAGTAATATATATACTAATCTTAAAACTAAATAGGCTAATATAAAATAAGATCTTATAGCTAAATTTGTTTTCAGATGCATTACTTATATACTTCATAAAAATTCTATGCCAAACAAAGTTGAAGAAAAACCAATTATTGCTAAAAGATTTTTATTAAAAATACATGTAATTATTTAATTATTTATTATTTATTAATTTATTTTATATTATATTCAAAAATTACTTATTATAGATAAATTTTATAGATTTTAAAATTACAAATGATAATGATGAAATTAAATATATTTTATATGTTCATTATTACTATTATTACTTTTCAAGAAATTCTTAGGCAGTGTTATCATGGGATATAGTTAGGACATTGATGGGACAGATGGGACATTTGAGACATATATGGGACATAGTTGGGACATATAGTTGGAACATATAGTGGGACAGCAAATGCTTGAGACATAGGAAATATACATCACTGTCTGTTCTTAGGTAAAAGCAATTACTTCAAAAAATATAATACAAGTAGCTAGTTATTTATTTGAGCTTTTTATAAAAGTTGGATTTCTATTATATTGTAATCTGATAATAGCAAAGAATTTACAGCAAATATAATTTTAAATCTTATGTTATTGTTATTATAGCTAAATGTTAAAATTATAAATAGAAGACCTTAATATCACCAATCACAAGGAAGTATTAAACAAGCAAATAGTATTTTAACATAAAACTTAAATGCATTAATAAATAAAATTAGTCAATTGAATATGTAATAATATTAAGATTAACTTTATGGAGTATAAACAATTCTACTTATATATCTACTGGAAAAATTCTATACAAATTAGTTTATAGATAAAAACCTAAATTAATTTTATTTAACTTGATATTTTATTTAAAAAAAATAATAATATATCTAATAAAGATGATATTTTAATCATATTGAAATTGAATAAGATAATAAATGAATTAAGTGATATAAGATTTATATTAAATTAATAATTAATTGATGAATTATTAATTATTAGTTAATTAACAAATTATACATATTTTTTTATTTATTCTTTAGTGATAATTATACTAACTATAGCTTCTAGTAATATTATAGTAATTCTCAATTTAAAATAATTTTTATTAATTAAATAATTAAATATTAATAATTAATTTATTAGGAATCAAATGCTATATTATAAGAAGACATTAATGAATTATATTTAGAATTATTTAAGTATAATAAAAATTTAAAAGTTTTAATTATGAAAAAGAAATTCATATAGCTTTAAAGGATGTTAATTTATTAAGAAAAATCCTCAAATATATTCAACTAAAAATTAAATATTTAGGAGTATAAACTTACTAATTGGTTAAATCTTTATTATGATAAAAATAATAAGAAGGTAAAAAAGAAATTGAATTACAATTAGATGAATATTTAGAGTAAAGATGGGAACTGTAATTAATATGTTGCAACTTTTAATGTTGCAACTTACGTTGCAATTAGTTTTAACCTA